GATAATGGGGGTGAGTATACTTCCCATGAATTCAAGAATTATTGTGCCGAGCATGGCATCAGGCATGAGAAGACTGTACCTGGAACCCCACAACATAATGGTGTGGCTGAAATAATCAACAGAACCATTATGGGGAAAGTGAGGTGTATGTTAAGAATGGCTAAGCTACCTAAGCCATTCTGGGGTGAAGCTGTTCTAACGGCGTGCTACCTGATCAATCGATCTCCATCTGTTCTTTTGGGCTTTGATATCCCTGAGAGAGTATGGTCCAGACATGATGTTAAATACTCTCATTTGAAGGTGTTTGGATGCAAAGCTTTTGCTCACGTAAGTAAGGAACAGAGATGAAAACTTGACGATAAAGCCATTCCTTGTATATTTCTGGGCTATGGAGATGAGGAATTTGGCTACAGGTTATGGGATCCAGAAAATTGAAAAATTATCAGAAGCAGAGATGTAGTGTTCCATGAGCAAGAAACTATGTCTGATTCTGCTTCACTAGAAATCAGAGAACCAAGTGGAAAGGTGGATCTTTCACCTGTCAAACCTCCTGGAAATGCCACAGCAGGGGAGAGTGTGATGGAGAATTCAGGGTTGATGATGAGCCAACAATAGAAGATGGTGATGGTGAAAGTGTTGAGAAGGAAGACCTCGAAGCTCCGCTTCAGCTCAGGAGATCAAACCGAGCGATTCAACCGTCTACGAGATACCCTAGTTCCACGTATATTACCATCACTGAAGAAGGAGAGCCAGAAAGCTTTGAAGAAGTACAGACTCATAAGGATAAATCCCAGTGGATGAAAGCCATGCAAGAAGAAATGGATTCACTGTTGAAAAATGAAACTTATGAGCTTGTGAAGCTTCCGGAAGACAGAAAAGCCTTGAAAAATAAATGGGTGTTCAAGCTTAAGAAAGATGGTGACAAGCTGTTGAAGTACAAGGCTCGCTTAGTTGTGAAAGGATTTGGACAAAAGCGAGGAATAGATTTTGATGAGATATTCTCACCGGTTGTAAAGATGAGCTCTATTCGAGTAGTACTCGGATTGGTGGCTAGCTTGGATCTGGAGCTTGAACAACTAGATGTGAAGACTACATTTCTTCATGGAGACCTAGATGAAGAAATCTACATGGAGCAACCAAAAGGATTTGAGAAGACTGGAAAGGAGCACATGGTTTGCAGATTGAAGAAGAGCTTGTATGGACTGAAACAAACTCCAAGACAATGGTACAAGAAATTTGACTCGTTCATGGCGAGTCATGGATATACCAAGACTGATGCAGATCATTGTGTGTTTGTTAAGAAATTTCCAGGTGATAAGATCATTTTCCTTTTGTTATATGTAGATGATATGTTGATAGTGGGACATGATATGAAGTTGATTGGTGATCTGAAGAAGGATTTAGCAAAGTCCTTTGAAATGAAGGATCTGGGCCCTGCGAAACAAAATTTGGGCATGCAGATCATGCGAGACCGAAAATCCAAGAGATTATGGTTATCGCAAGAACGATATGTGAATCGGATTCTGGAGAGATTCAACATGAAATCGGCTAAGTCGGTCAATACACCGTTGGCCAATCACTTCAAACTCAGCAAACAAAGTTGTCCTACGAGTGAAGAAGAAAAAGAAGCTATGGCGGGTGTTCCATACTCCTCGGCAGTCGGGAGTTTGATGTATGCCATGGTGTGTACTAGACCTGATATCGCTCACGCGGTTGGAATTGTTAGCAGGTATCTTTCCAATGTTGGAAAGGATCATTGGGAAGCTGTGAAGTGGATCTTGAGGTACCTAAAAGGCAGTAGAAATAAGTCCTTGAGCTTCGGAAAAGGAAACCCAGTTCTTGAAGGCTATACAGATGCGGATATAGCAGGTGACCTGGATAGTAGAAAATCTACTTCAGGGTTTGTGTTTACATTTGCAGGGGGAGCTGTATCTTGGCAATCTAAATTGCGGAAATCTGTTGCCTTGTCGACTACTGAAGTAGAGTATATTGCAATGACAGAAGCAGGTAAAGAAATGCTTTGGTTGAAGAGGTTTCTTCAACAATTGGGAATGAAGTAAGAAAGGTACGATATCCATTGTGATAGTCAGAGCGCATTGGATTTAAGTAAGAATGCGATGTACCACTCTCGCACGAAGCACATTGATGTCAGATATCATTGGCTACGACAAGCAGTGGAAGAACAACAGTTCAAGTTGGAAAAGATTCACACTGATGAAAACCCTGCTAACATGATGACGAAAGTTGTAACAGGAGGAAAGCTTCAGCTTTGTGCCGAGTTGATCGGCATGGAATACATGTGAAGATTGGCAGATTATTTCCCTTTGGCTGGAGGGGGAGAATTGTCATATCCAGCCAAATACTTTTCACATGGTTGAACACAAAACAACAAAACAAAATAAAATTAAAAAAAAAGGAGAGAATCAAAATGAGTTGTCCACATGAGAAGAAAGTGGAAAGAAATAGCTGCAGCCGAAAGTTTCTTTGTTCACATGTAACATTTCTTCAATATAAATAGAGGGGTCTTCAGCTGCTGAAGGATGCACCAAGCAGAAGAAAAAAGAGAGAATAAGAGAGCAGAAAAAATATTTCTGTGTGTGTTATTTTTCAGTGAGATAAAAATAGAGTGTTTGAGTAAATCCTGTGGGTGTGGGAAAAAATACACCGGGTTGGGTATCAACTCTATTACTCCTTGTTTAGGAGTGGAGTTCTCACTGGGTCACTATATTTTACATTTCTAGTGTAGGGGAGTGTGAAAAGATATTTTAATTATCTTGAAAATATAGTGGAATTGTTCGGAGGTTGTCCCGTGGTTTTTTCCTCTAATTTAGAGGTTTTCCACGTTAAATCTTGGTGTCTTATTTCTTGCATATTTTATTTATTTGGGATATTCTTAGTATGCTCTGTGGTCGCAGTTTAATCTGAACTTCCACATCAGAAAAGAATTATTCCGGTGTTATTGCAAGAGTTTTTCTTTTGTCATTCTTGAGTTGCTGGGATTGAGATTATTGTTCACCATTTCACGTTAGTATTTTAATTTACATCTTCCGCATTTGCGCATCTGAGCCCAACAGGACGAACCGCTGATGGGAACGAGATTGCTTTTGCTAGAATGTTTTGATCGAAATTTGTCCACTTTAGTTTTTAATGTAAGTGTTTTATATGTTCAACTCTTCATATCAATTTTTTTTTTTTTATAATTTTTAAATTCAAATTTTTGTTCAATTGTTTGTATTATATTATGTGGGTTTTCTCTTTTTACTGTAATTTCGTCTCAGTCGAGAGAACCTCTCGGTAATTTGTTGTATGTATTGTATGTACTGCGTTGTTTTTTTTTTTCGTGGGCTTATGGCTGGTACTGTTGTAACTAATGAATGATAGTTTGCTTGTTTATATTGAGAGAGTTGTATTTAATAGTATTAGCAATGATACTATAATGCATCAGTTTCAAATTTTGAAATCGCGTCGTCGACAATTACCTTACCGTCACGGACTAAAAGTCATATTTTTTTTTTAATGAAGTGAATTTTTTTTTTAAAAAAAAGTTACTTTTTTCATTTCATGTGAAATGCCTAGGTGTAAAGAATGACATAAATTTTTATATAATGACACATTACAATATTATTATTTTACACAGCACGTTACTTTTAAAACAACGATTAACATAAATAAGTTTCGGTCTTTATATATATATATATTAAAAGCATTATGTCAACCTACTTTTATTCTATTTTATATCACCATAGGTCCGAGTGTTATATTCGGATAACGGACTTATTTGTCCAAAAAGAACGAATGACTAAAGAATGCCAAGCTTTATCGGCTTTCATATTCAAAAGTTGTTGATTAATTTCAAAAAGTAGAGAAAACATGACTAAAACCTTGAAATTAAATAAAATGATTACAGATTCCAGATAAGGATTCAAACATCGATGATAAGTCTCAATAAAATGGAAATTTGTAACCTCTAACTATGTAGGGAATGAAAATTCAGATTCTATAATTGTAGGATAAGATTTTTTGGAATAAATTTTAACGGTTTAATTGTAAAATATAGCCAACATGTTTACGAATTGGAAATATTGGCCAACAACTTTTAAAATTTTAAGGTTATTACTCATGTCCGTCTAAATTCGATGGCTGTTGGTGTCACTGCGTAAAAAGGGACTGACTATATTTTACAATTTATCTGTCGAATTTGATTAAATTTGAGATTATGAATTTGAGTAATAATCTCAAATTTTTGAAAGTTGTTGACTAATATTACTAATTCATAAAGATGATGACTATTATTGACACCACGTACAAGATACTGACTATATTCTACAATTTAACCAATCTTAACGAGACAAAACCATTTTTTTTTTCATTTGGTGTGATCCTTGGGTCAAATTATTGTGTGGACTTTTTATGTGGAGAGTTGGAATATTATATGCTGAGGAGAAAGTTGCTAAATGTTGAGAAAAATCTTTGGAGAAGAATAGTTGTTATTAATAGTACCAAAAAAAAAAAAAAATGTTAGAAAATCATTATGAAAAAATAGGCATTTGATTCGATTTTGACTAATACTTTTATGGTAAAATATTTAATTTGGGTGGAATTAAATTATGTAAAAACCAATACTACATTTCAAGTAGATATTCATGATATATTTATTTTTTTAAAATTAATTTTGATAACTGAGAAATAAATAATTAAACTTAGTCATTAATGTACACATAAACATAAGTTATGTGATTCGAATAGTCAAAAGTCTTTTCTCACATTGAACTATTAAGCGAAATTAGTATTCGATCATGCACACATACACAAATATTTAAATTATTATAAGTTATATGCATACATATAATACTAAATTATAAGTTAGATAATAGTATCATATTTAATATCTTTGTCATTAATAAAAATAAATATTATAAAAGTATTCAATTGTATCGTTATGTGATTACATAAAATAAAATGGATAAGGTAGTTTATACTACCTCCTATATTTAATAGATGTCGTTTTGAGAAGTTGCACGTTAATTAAGAATATTTTTTTATCAATAATAACCTTATTTAATGAAGATATAGATGAATATTTTGAGAAAAAGTGAAAAGTGAATATGAAAAGACGTAATGTATTTATTAGCTAAATGAGAGTAATAATGGAAAAATATGTATAAAAGATCCAAAACGACATTTATTTAGTTAATAGTTGATAAAGCTAGAATGACATTTAAAAAAAAACAGGAGGGAGTAATAAATTTGAAAGATCATGACCCGTTAATTATCTTAAAAAGTATTATTATTATTATTATTATTATTATTATTATTATTATTATTATTATTATTATTATTATTATTATTAAAGTTTAATAGATTTGGTTTATTACTAAAGACAATTGGCTTATTTAAAAAATATTTAAGAGCAATAAATAGTTTAAAAAAAAATATCAAAATATATTATTATGTTTATTCAACTTTCAACCTTTCATATATCATTTAGTGTGAATTATAGTTGGTTAGTTTTAGTAATAACTAATATATAATAAAATAATTAAAAGCATGATTTTACTTTAATTAATCATTATTTTAAAAAAGGTAATTTATTGAGTTTAGTTATTGGTTTAAAAAAAATTATTGAATTGTAATGAAAAAAGGTGGAAAGCCTAAATAAGTTTATTAAATTTTTTGTTAGCAATTCCACATATATATACAGAGAGATATTAAGTATTCATTGATTAGTGAGTTGTTTAAGATTTTTATTAAAAAAATAATAAAGTAAATAATGCATTAATTTGTAACATCTTTTAGAGGGAAAATAAATGAGGTTTTATTAATTGCTTTGCTCGCAATTATACATATATAGATTAACTCTCTTTAATATAATAAGGAGAGTTGAAGAGGTCACAACAACAACAAAATTATGCACCAAGTGTTGGTAATGGTTTCTGCCACAGGCCCCCGCCCACCAGCCCAGCCGGCTTGGCTCGAGCACGGGCCTTGGACCTTAGGCATTGGGCCTTGGTACTTGGAAATTGGCAATTAGACAGTGGGTTGGAGTTGGGCGGTGTGAGACCTCTCCAAATACACTGTACCAAGACAGTTGACTCCATCTGACTGTTTCAGGTGAAGTAGTGGTCTATTAACACCTGAAAACGACAGTCTTAACATCAGACCGTTTTTGTCCACTTACAACAGCCATCAGTGGGATGTTAACTGCCTAAATTAGTTACAAACCAGAGATCATCCCGTACTGGTTGAAAGTCCTATAAATAGGACATTGTATAAAGTTGTATAAACATACAAAATAATATATGCTTCATTACTCTCTAGAAAAGCCTCACGCATCATAAAATAAAGTGCTCAATTCACCACTCTATTCTAGTTTGTCGGAGCTCTGATTAATTCTGGTGTGCTATAGTTTCGAAGATGATTGTGATTGTATCTTTGAGGATGAGACGTCCGATCTCGTCAGCACTATACATCGCGTAGTCGTATTGCAGAACAAGATATTCTTGCCTCCATTATACTATTCACACTTTCAATTCTATTGTAATTTTTCTATATTCTTAGTTCAAGTTGTAATAAATGAACCATAAACTTCAGTTCGTAGGATTCTCGTGTAACTGAAACACTTTGTTTGTGACAATTATAAGATGAGTATCAACATACTAAACTAATGACCTCCACTGGAAATGGTCCCAATACTCAGCAAGCTCAACAACAACAACAACAGATCAACAATATTGTTCTTCATCATCATCACGTACCTATTATTCATATCCCTACTGCTGAAAATTCTGAAAAATTCAACAGACTTGACTTCGAAAAGTTGCAGCAGAAGATGCACTTTTACCAACCCACATTGGGTTTGGTTAGTACATGAAAGAAGACCCCCCATAGTTGCTTAAAATGAATCCAATGATAAACTACGCGCTGCATACGTTGTTTGGGGGGGGGGGGGGGGGGAAGGTCACTACCTTTTCTGGAACTATGTTCTTAACGAACTAGGTAATGAGTTATACAATGTGTATAGCTCAATCGGTTCAGCCAAGGAGCATTGTTCTTCATTGGAGAAGAAGTTCAAGACTGAATATGTTGGGACAAAGAAATTCGTCGTCGACAAGTTTTTGACTTCAAGATGGTCGACCATGACTTCAAGTATTCCAACTGGTCTTGCAGGACATCCATGCTGAAGGAATAATTCTGAGTGAGTCGTTCCAAGTTGCGGTTGTGATCGAGAAGCTGTCGTCAGGGTAAAAAGACTTCAAGAACTAGCTGAAACAATAAAGGAAGGAAATAAGTCTTGAAAACCACATTGTTGGTCTTCGTATTGACTAGGAAAACCGTAAGTCTTTAGGAAAAGCCCCGATGATAGGGGCTCGTGCTAACACGTTAGAGCAAGGCAACTCGAGCAAGAGTAAGCCCCTTAATATGGGGAAGCAGCTTGCCAAGGTTGGAAGTTTACCATAAACTGTCTCATTTGTAGAAAGTCGAACTATACGGTTAAAGAATGCAATAATGTGAATCCCTTTTTTTTTATTTGTCTTGTTAATAAATTTGGAGATTCCTATGCTAAAATATAAATCCCAACTTTTCATATCATTTTTTTTTACAAAAACTGAATCTCTTTTTTGCAAAAAAATCAGAGATTCTTATGCAAAAATTGTGTCAATTATTTATGGAAACAAATCAAGAGAAAATTTAATTTAAAAATCGTACAAATTGAAGAAATAGTTTCATAAATCTTGACAAGATATTGTGATTTTTTAGAATTAATTTCAATTCAATTCTTTTGGTAAAAAAATTGATACAATGTTAGGAAAATTAAGTTTCGCAGAAACAATATTGATCATTCTTTTCACTTTGTTTTAACCAAATATTCAGATCAATTTATTTGGTAAAAAATTGGTATATTGGTAGAAAAATTCAATTTCATTTTTAGAATAAAGTAATGGTTCTTTTCAATACTTCTTAATCAAAATTTTGAATTAAATTTACAAAAAAATAAATAATAAAATAATAATAACATAGCGTGAAAATTCCTAAAAGCCTCTACTTTTTTTGTACTAGAATTTTGTAAATAAGATCCTTTAGTTTTTTTTTTCAAAAAAAAAAATAAAAATATAATCCGTTTACTAATAACTAATAATACACAATTTTAGATAAAATTAACACCATATAGTACATTACGTGCCAAATAATCAAACCAAGAATGTTCTATATAAAGAAGTGTTCAATAATATATTAATTTTATTTTCATAATATTTTTAATATCATGAGACAATTTAAATACAAAATTTTATTTTAAAAGGCAAATATGTAATAAATGTTATCATGTATTGCATGAGTACTTACTAGTATAAAAACTCCACCATGCTCGTCGACCACTATATGAAAAACATTAGTTATGTACATATGTTCCTTTTGAAGCATGATAATAACAATGAATCGACCGTCAGAAATCTCAAACCGGAACTGGAGCAGTTTTTTAAAAAAAAAAGTTTAGCAAGAATTCGAAAGTTTAGCCAATTCTTATCATTTTAGGAAGAAACTTAGTCAAATAAAATTTAAATAAAATTAGTTTTGATTCAATTTATATTGGTTAGATGAATTGATTTTAAATAAAATTGATTGAATGGAATTTAGGATTTTTATTTAAATAATATTTAAAATGTAATGATTTAAGTTGATGTGATTTAAAAGTATGTGAGACATTATTATAAATAATAGATATTTAAAAATGTGTCAGTGAATGAATTGTGGACTAAAATTGATATAATGTGTGAGAATGATTCATTTATATTATTTAATAATGTTGGTAAGTGACGATAGATTAGTTGAATTAAATCTAAATTAAGCGGTAAAAAATATTATATATACATTTCAGTTAACATTAATTTTAATTTGTAGTCAAACGTGGCCTTATTTTTCTTATTCTTTACTTCCGCTCATAGTTTTGAGATCCGGACTGGTCTGGCGGGTCGTCTCGGGACCCGGTCGACTCGGATCCGGAACCGCTCCAGATGAGTTAATTGGACCGGACAATAAAGGACCCGGTCAAAACCCAGCCAACCCAGACTTGACCCGATCGACCCGGCTCATAAACAAACATGCTCTCACGCGCTTAAATTGAAGAAAAAAATAATTCTGATCAACATATATATTATAAATAATGTAAAAGTAGGATATTAATTTGATGATCGAATATTTATAGAACATTGACTTGGTTAATCAAAATCAACCAATCCATCACCAAACCAAACCTACTCTTACACCTATCAAACAAACTTTCACATTTCTGTGCAATCACAACATATCAGTCTCGATCCCCCGATTAAAAGACATCTCTCGAATCGTATCAAGAATCGGCCTCCACGATCTTGACTTGCTCGACTTCTTCGCCTGTACTTGACCGTCGCCATTCGCCGCCTCCTTTGGGCTCCCCACGCTCCAATCTTTGCTCCTTGGCTTGTACGTGCACTTTTGCGCTCGGGAGGCCAGCCTTTTGGTGATGGGCGCCAGGTCCACCGGGGACACGTGCGAGTCGAAAAACGACAGAGGCAGCACGAAATATATCTTGCCTGCCTCCAAGGCGGTGTCGGGTTTGAGAGGCATGGAGATGTTGGAAAGGAGCTGGGCTTGGGTGAAGAGGAAGTACTTTGCCGGATCCCCGGAGACCTCGGCTACCGTGGCCGGGTAGTCTAATATCGTGACGTGCCCGTTTAGATGCACCATTCGAATGACGTTGTTTAGCTTTTGGGGGTTTGATGTGGATGCCAATACTCTTTTGCAAGAAATACTTGACCCCATTTTTTTTTTCTCTCTTTTATGTAAATTAGTGTAGAGATTAAATGTGTTTTAGCATTGTGTGGTATTTATAGACAATTAAAGAGTAAAGAAAGTGACAAATTTGACAAGTTACTGTGTGAAAGAATGCTTTAGTTAGTTACAATTTCAATTTAAATAATTATTTGGGCTAAAACCTAAACCAAAATTAATTTCTATAGGTCAATATGTGGGGGATATCTGGTCAATATGTCAAATTAGTTGGCCCTTTTTAAAATGAAGTTCAGCCATATCATATACGGATACGCTTAATGATATAGTTTCCGTTTGAATGATCCAACGAAAATTATAACAAAAATATTGTGTTGGAAAGAGTTTTTCATTGAAATATTAAATGGAATTTAATGTGTTGAACGATGATTTACCATAAAAAATTATGTTGGAATATGCAATTTCAATTGAAATTTTGATCCCATATTTTAACTGAAAAATCTACTGCTGGGAACGTCAAAATCAAACAAAAAATTTAATTGAAAACTCCTTCCAACGAAATATTATTATTCAATTTTTTCATCAGAATCGATTGAAAAATTCCAAAGAGTATAATAACGTTTGGAATACTTATTTGAATTGTCGTTAAAATTTCATTAAGTTTCAATATTTTGATGTTGAAGTAATGTGATTCAAGTTATTTGAGTTATTTATATCAACAGTCGATTTTTTTTTTTTTATTGAATTATTGCCATAAGAAAAAAATAGGTAGATGATTATCCTTGATCAAGGATACTGTACAGCAATTAAATCTCTATCAAATGATGTGTACGTACATTTATACGCCTTGAGAGCAGGAAAAAGTCTTCCATGGGTTGATTTATGCTTTGGAATTAGTCATAAGCTAATACGATTGGTTTCCAAATACCGACATCTTTCAATATCATGTGAACTGTAGGCGTGTGGAAATTAGAGATCATTTAAGACAAAAGAATCCCTTTGTCCCTATTCATTCTTCAACGTCAGGGTCAGGGCTGAGCAAAACCAAGTCGAAATCGAAAAATTGAGTCAAACCGTACAATTCGGTGTTGTTCGGTTCAATTTTTTAATGTAAAACAATTTTGATTCGGTTTTTTCCCTTCATTGCGGTGCGGTGCGGTGCGGTTATAGTTTTTTATAAGTTTGGTTTACGATTTTGTTCGGTTCCTTGCGGTTTTTCACCGAACCGCACCAAATTGCATTATATAAAAATTAAGATAAAATCGTGACAAAATAAGAAAAGAACACAATAGTGAAATCGGTCAACTGATCTGCTGCGAGAGAGAGCCGCCACTCATAATATATACACCAAAGATTGGGGTTGGTTTACAAGGAATAACTTCCCTACCAAGAAACTAAGGCTAAAGAAGTAAATACACAAAATACATAACATATCATGTACACTAACAGCCCCCCTCAAGTTGGAGCATGCAGATTTCGAATGCCCAACTTGCTGAGAAAATAATCAAACTCACGCTTCCCAAGAGCCTTGGTAAAGATATCCGCCAACTGAGCACAGTAGGGACATGACATGTAGAGATGAGACCATGATGAAGTGCATCTCGAATAAAATGACAATTGATATAGCCCTATTGTCGTGGTCCGGTTCAGCTAGAGATTGCTCGACTAAAGGCTGCAGACGACCCCACTAGGTCGAGATAAACGATGTCGACTCGGCCCATCAGCTAT